TATATATATATATATATATATATATATATATATAAATAATGGGGGTAAAATAAAAAAAGAATAAATATAATAACATCATTATTGTTACTAGTTACCGCCATTTGGTGATATCAACTTGGTATGTTTAATCCACCATGTTGCCTATATGAAGATATCAGAGTATCATGCTTTAAAACATGTTTTTTAGAATATCTAATGACGATACTATCATTATTCAAAGAAGCTCTTAATATCAACACTATTAATATAGACCAGTGTGTAAAAAATGATAAATTTTTAGAATATGTCAATATATACTTTGATTATATTACAGAGAATAAGATGCGCCTGAATATCTCTATTGAGAGAGATGATAAATTCTGCATGGAGCATATTGTTTATATATTGTTGGCTGTTGATATGTTCGTTTCGATGTTAGTCGATGATAGTAGTGATAAAAGCGATGATAAATATGATACTATCATCACTGATGAAGATCAAAGAAAAAGACGGTGTTTTATAGACATTTCTTGTATAAATAAAGATACCTTACTCTCTGAAAAGTGTAAAAATTGTGAAAATAGTCTATACGGGTTTGCAACTGCTTTAATGAAGAACAAGGGAAAGTCTATTTCTTGTCTTTTTTTCTCAAGAGATAGATACTATACGAGTGATCCAATGAGCGTCTTTTTTACAGTTGACGAGATAAAGAAATATTTCAAAAAGAATAAAAACATCAAGGAAGAACGAAGAATTAAAATTATACTTTCAAAATATAGAAAGAAGATAAAGGACGATTCTGAGAATACGAGAACCGGATCGATTCTTTGCGCCCGAGATGCAAATATCCTTATAAGATACGATAAGGAACACGTCTTATCTCTAGATGTTTGTATTACTATAATCGATAAAGAATCATATACGTCTCTATTAAGACGATAGAGAAACAGACAAAACAATTGAATAAATCTCTCTTAGATTATCTAGAAACTTTTATAAACATAGATGGTAATATATGTCCTAACCGTCTACAGATAATTAAAGATATAAATTTGTTCAAAATCAAATTAACACATATTACACATGAACATTTCCCTACATTTAAATTTAACGGGTCCAGAAAGCACATTGCAATTTCTAAAGCTATAGAAAACCTTATGGTCAACGAGAATGACGCAGTATCAACATCAACAACAATAACGAAGATGATGATGCTGCTGCTGATGCTGATGATACTGGCAGTAATAATAAAAAAAACAGGAACAGTATAGCACCTAAGGAGAATAACGGTAACCATAAAACCTTCGAACCTTTCACGAGTATTATATTACCTCTATTGGTTAACGATACAATAACAAACATATGGTTCAACAGACTATTTTTGATAAATACTCATAGAGATAAAATTACCGATAATAATATTAAACCAACGGGTTTTCTTGTAGAACTTTTAAAAAGCGCAGATTGCTATGAAGACAGAACAAAAACTATGGAAATGTTCAGAATATTTTCAAACGTTTGTGTTTCTCTTAGAAGCAACAGTCTACCCTTACCCTTTCATACATATAGTAACAAACAAAAAAGAAAAAAAAAACTGATTTTAATTACTGCAACATACAGCCATAACAGATGTTCAGTATATTCAAAAATTTACCAAAAGGAACAATAAATATTAAGAAGCTTTTATCTAATATACTACTCTATAATCGATAAACGCAACGATATCAGTGGTAGTAATGTACAATTATCAAGTGGAGAAGTTAGTAAATTTCATCAATATTTTACATCGATTGGAAAAGATCTTTTGTCTTCTATTTAACGAGGATGGTAATAAAAGAACACAATATTAATAAATGGTTTTAATTAATCTATTAATAAATTGTTTTATTGTTCTTTGTTGTTTATTGATCTTTACTTTAAAAAATGTTGTTTTATTGATCTTTACTTAAAAAAACAAATAAACAAAGGTACGGTACTTTTTACTTTAAAAAAATAAAGTTGCAAACTTAAGTATATAAAATGAATGATTGTTACCCGCTAATATTTACGGATTATACCGAATACACAATGTATATATATTTACCTTTATAATTATAGTTGAATGATCTTATAATATGCACATTAAAAGAAGTGGTCATGTTTAATAACATCAGCAGCTACTATATACCCATCATTGTATTATGTCTTATAGTTGTAGCATATGTGATCGTAACGACATATTTATTGAATGTGTATATACAGGATCACCTAAACAATGTTATTGGTTTAAAAGGTTTATATGGAGAATTTTCCAGCCGGTTGGCTGACGGCGTCACACCTCAAAACATGTTTGATTCTTATATAAAGAACGACAACCCGTTACTAGCACACAGTATTGATGTTTATGCTCTTCCACCACAACCGAACACGATATTAGAGTCAGATCACGGAAACCCTCTTCAGCTGCAATCGCAGGGTCACAAGAGAAAACCTCAACCTCTCGAATATATCCAAAATGAAAGAATAAGATACGATCAAAATGGGGAGGAGTTTAGATCCGCAGCCAATAACGCTAGCGGTAACCGTGCAGCTTCGGTCGCTGTCGTAAAAAAATATGTGGCTGCTCTCTTAAACTCGACGAGGATGATGAGAAAAGGTGAAGAAAATAATGATGATGATCTATCGATAACGAATTATATAATAAAAAATGAGCGCGATCGAGAACTGTACCACCTGTTATTCTCTGACAATGTCCATATACACCCCTCTATAAAAATCCGACCGCCGTTCATCACGGCGGTCACTGTAGTGACCAATACCCTTCGACAGTATCAATAGTAGTAACATGTCGAACTGTTCTGAACTATGTATGAATCCCGAATCTCGATTGATAGAAGGACCCTTCATTTCGGGAGACCGATTGTATCCGGGTGGTATGTCTTACTGCTGGAGTGGACCATCTCACGACGGACCACCGGGTGAGACGACCTCCTCCTCTCAGCGGTAAAACACCGTCACAAGGATCGACTGCTTTGCAGTAGCATTACCTCCGTCTTAGTTCTAAAAGACGATGGCCAATGGACGTGTCGACCGCAGTACCCCTTTTTGTTTGGAGGTCCTTCTGGTATGGAGAGAGCAGCGTGCTTGTACGACCCTTATGTTCACGAACCCCCTTCGGCACAGATAGGGGGTAACCCTTCGGAGATTTTCAATCTGTCCACTCATCTCGTCGATTCTGTGACGGGCCAGATCGTAAAATCGCATTTCGATCTCGCGTCCACAGCATATTTTTCAAAGATGGCCAATGCTTCATCTTCAAAAGATTTCTTGACCATGGCGAACGATAAAGAATTTTACAGGAAAAATTTTGTTGGGTGTAGTTGTTGTTAAACACTGGGATGTGTTTGGTAATAAACCGTTAACGGTAAAACAATCTTCCAATTTTTTATTCTTTGGACTCCACTCGTGTAACACAAATCCCTGCGTCATGACAAGAACGGTAGACAACTTTGTCCGCTTTGATGAAACGGACAACACGTGTCATGCTGTAGCACAGGGAGAGGATCAAGTCTATAACGCCATTCACGGAGATAAAACGCCACTCGTGGGAACCTTAGCGCCGGCAGCCGGAATAGTACCTGCTTCATCATTAAAGTTAAGCAATGAAGAAGTTACCCATCCCGTTAAACTCAGCATTGGACCCGAAGAAGCGAGTCCTCCAAATCCTAGCGAGGCTTTGGCTATTCAAATAACTAGACTGGCCTCTCCCGTAATACCTGCCACTAACAACGACTCGTCTAACAAAACGAGAAATGTTATGTTTGTACCCATTCAGTCTATAACTGTGACTGGAAGTCAACCCAAAAATACAATTAGAATTCCCGAGGTGTACATCACCGACGCTAGTTGCACGCCACCCATCTCCATCGGAGCTCTGAAAAACTCTTCACCTATACCCTTTAACGTGGCACCTTACTTTGTGGAACCCATTCCAAATATACTGGTAAATACCATACCTGAGAAACCCTACGAGCACGAACTGTTAGTTCTGGAAGGATTAAGAAACAGCAGACTCGTATCGGGAAATGTTTTGGGTGGTTCAGAAATGCTCTACTCACTACTCTTGGCGGATAACGGTAGAGGTAAACCGAGTCACACTCGAAATCCTTCTGACGCTGGCTTTCAGAGACTAAGCAAGATGAGATACTTTTACGATAATGTTTTTCCAAATAGAAGACTGTCGACATTCGAACTATATAAAAAAAAATCGCGTCTGAAGTCAGTAATTTTTCCTCTTGGGATATAAAGTTTCGTAAGAATGAAGTGCAAAACTTTAGTGGTATAGAAAATCTAGAAGATACTTTTGTTCTTCGCGAAGGTCTCTTGCTTAGATCCTACCGAGCTTATGCCGGTTGGGTTTTAAACACATCGTCCAATGCAGCTGTAGATTTTTCAAAACTCTACCATAGCAGCAGTAGCAACAGCATCACCAGTCGTACAGCAATGGACTTGAATCATGCTCAATTTATATTTCCTACATCACATTCTGTACTACCAGATATAAATTCGGAACATGATATTTTTTCTGTAGATCGCGATTTTCTTTTCGATCACGAAACATTTTCTAGCTTCTTTACAATGACTGACAATATCAAGCTAAAACTATTTGACGACTCGTCACCAGAGTACAGTGTTTCGCCTTATCCGGTAAATTCTAAATACGGGTGGGGGTTAAATACCTTTCGATACCTCTACAATTTCAAAACAATATATATTCAAAAAGCGATCAAAGATTAAAATTTGACGAATCCGATTGGACATTCGAAGGTAATTTATTACCCGCCTCTATATTCAAGAAAAGCTTAATCGAGTGGGGACACGAACACGGTCGTATCGACTCGGACAATTGGCTTAGAGATGGTACGGATACAGTAGTAGAATACAAGGAATTATTAAAAAAGACAAGTATCGTCTACAGACCAATGTGGTGGACTGCTGTATGGCCACGAACCTTTTGGAGATACTCTTCTGATTATTTTGATTTATCGGTATCTAAATAAAAAATACCCATTTAAACTAATATATTTTTATTCCTAATTCCTAAAATATTACATTGATTATACATTTATCTATATATTTTTATTCCTATTCCTAAAATATTACATTGATTATATAATGGTTAATTGGCTGTTGATTATATAATGGTTAATTGATTATTGATTATATAATGATTAATATTACATGAACAATATATTTATATTACATACAAGAACAATATATTTAGAGACTAATATTACATACAAGAACAACATATTTAGAGACTATATAATGATTACAATATGGTGGATAATATTACTAATCATAGTAACAATACATTTAGATATTACTTATTATAAATATGATTATGATATCTTCTTCTTTCTTTAATTTTACCACCACCACCACTTCTATATCCACCACCACATTCACCACCAATGGGTTGGCGACGTCGTTGGTATTGATGATACTGCTGATATTGTTTTTGTTGTTCCTGTTGATACTGTTGCTCTTGACGATGCTGCTGCTGCTGCTGCTCCTCCTGCTCCTGCTGTTCCTGTTGATACTGATGCTCTTGCCGATGCTGCTGATAAATGTTGTTGTTGTTCATATGTATGATAAAGATGGTGGGGATTGTATGAATCGGGGTTATGATGGTGGTAGTAGTAATCATGTTCTTGGTATCGTTTTTCTTGCTGTTCTTTTTCTTGATCCTTGCTGTGATACTGATCATTTCGTCGCGGGTAATAATAATGGTAATTATATTGATGTTGATGAGGGAAATGCTGACGTCTTTGCTTATTCAGATATGGTGGCACTGCATCATAATTAAATAGAGACGGAAGTGGTGGAGAATAATGGTAATAGTTAGGTGGAGGGTGGTAGTAAGGTGGTGGAGGAGGAGGCGGCAGCAGCGTTGTTGCTGTTGCTGTTGTTGTTGTTGTTGTTGTTGTTGTTTCTTCTTATATTGCATACATTGTACATATGGTAAACAATACATACAATTTGGAGGCACCGAAAACATGCAAGGCATCATTGGTATTTGTTGAAATGCAGCATCTGGCTGTACCTGTGTATCAGCAGCTGTAGCTGTTGCTGATGCTGCAGCTGCAACAGCAGCTGCAGCAGCTGTGGTAGGAGATCCTGTAGTAGTATCAGCATCAGTAGCAGCAGCAGCAGCTGCTGCTGTTGTTGTTTCAGTAGTAGCAACACCATCACCTTTATCACCGTCATTAATAGTTGTAATGGTAGTAGCAGCACCACCACCATCACTATCACCAGCTAAATTAGTAGCGTTCACCTTATTTTGTTCTTGTTTTTTCACTGATATGTTTTTCATGCATATCTTTTGATGCGGTGCACTCTATCTCACCCTCCTCTACTTCACTATCCCAAGGTTTGCTACAACTCCAGGAATTCGATTCATTGTCATGACATTGGTCATCGACAATTTTCTTTGCATCATTATTACCATCTTTGGTAATATTGACAATCATTTCAGAGGAGAGGGTCGTTGTTGTTGTTGGCATCGATGTTGATAATTTGACGCCTGTTGATTCTGAGGTCATCGTCGATTCTTCATCACCGTTATTTGTCGGGGGTGTGATATTTTCTTCTTCTTCTTTGGTAATTTCGGATTTCTTATAGTTTTCCATCTTGAGTTTCTTGATACGTTGTAGTGTTTGAGAGAAACATATTACACACTTATATGAAAAATATGTATTATACCCTCATTTTATATATCATATTTGGTGTGACGGTTCTCCAAGTATAAAAATGTCTGAAATAAATTATACAAAATGTGGGATATTATATACAATCTATAAATTATAAAATAAGCAAGTTCATGTGTATCAACATTAACCCATATGGTTTACTAGACTGAATAGAAAATGGAACACGATATAATTAAAAAATGTATTAGTTATCTTGAGTCTGTCAAGAAATGTTTAAACGACGTTGAGACGAATTCCAGGAATAAACAATGAGACAGATACGAATACGGTCAAGATTATTGATGAAGAACTACAAAAAAAACAAAAATATGAAAACAAAATGAGAAATGGTATGGATCGGATTAATAAAATTTTATGTAAGAACCTCTGTATCCATTTGAGTAAAACTAGATCTACTTTCTGCACATGTTATTCAGATGACGGTATTATTTTATGCCAAAAAATATGCGGTAAAGTATATATCATTCGATAATACTTTATCGATGGGTTATCCCATACTCCAAAAAACGAGTAATACGAGTGTTCGACTCTTGCTGAGTCTCGGAATTGCATGGGATAAAAACAATGAGACGTTTGTATTGGATCACGTGGAAATTGGAGAAGTGGAAAAAAAAGAAAACGGTATCTATATTCGATCCACTATTACATTTACAAATGGTGATTTTGAGATAGGGAAGGCACAATACCGTATAACTCTATAACAAGCTTTAGAGATATAATTCCTCTGTACTCTGATAATGATATAGATGTTAAACTTTATTCGTCTATTATTCATATTATTGTTGATGCGCAAAGAAAAAAATTTTGCGTCCAGATTGACAACTGTCCACTGTTGATACATAGAGGCTGTAATAATTCTCAAGTATCAATGTTTACTGTATGTATGGCTCACTTTTCAAAATACAACAATACAAAAGAGGATGATGTTGATAATGTTGATGATACAACAACAACTGCAGCTGCTACACAAAACTTAAACGTAAAAAGAATACTACGACTATATGAAATGAAGAATAGAACTGATGATGTGTTTTTAGATGCTTTAATATCTTTTCTTAAAGAAAAGATAGATACACCATTACCCATCTTAGAGGATGGTGAAACAATGGTGCATGATGAAATAATGGTGCAAAAATTAAAATTAGAAAAAATAATAACATTATATAAAGAAAAAGACAATACTGAAAAAGGAAATATTTCCTACGAAGCAAACACCCATCATGATGAAGAAAAGGATGTGGGCACTAGACTGGATACCATCACTTTCAAGCGAAATAAAAAAACATGATGAAGAAAAGGACGCTATATTAGCCCTGTCTAATGAACTGGCTGATAAGATTGACCATCTTGAGGTACTAGACTGGATACCATCTCTTTCAAGTGAAGTAGAGAAATGTGAAAGTATAAGGGATATATCTCTACTGGGTTATTATAATAATCCATATATATTAGAAAAGAGCAAGGAGAAGAGAAAACGACCATTCCTGTTATTAAGAGAAATAAAGGAGATAGGAGGATATACAACCAAGTTAAAGGCACTGTTCAAGGAAATACGGTCGATGGCAAGTGACGAAGAATTAACCGAGTTTAACTTTTATTACGAGGAGTATGTAAATCAAATGGAGAGCATGTATAAACTATCATTGATGAATGACCAAATTTGGGAGGAAGGGTATAAAATCAGAAGAATTATGAGATTATTCATAACAGCGAGTGTATTTTCACCACGCTACCCTATTGTTAATAAAATTCTCAATAAAGAAAAAAAGAAAATTTAAGATATGTTTTGAGAAATATATTCTCTGGTCTCATAATTAGTATGAAACCCGATCACAATTTCGAGGCAAATAAAGAATGGGTTATCAGAGTTATTATCGACCACTTGTCTGATAACAATAATAAGGAAAAGTTTGTTGATGTATTGAGATTTTGGATGTCTGATTTCAGATTTATTCGACAGGACGATATTGGCTAGACGGTATATCTACAACTAATGGGTCTTTAGAAAAGAATCCTTTAGGAGGAGGACCCTGTGCTTTGTTTACACCTATTGCTAAACATATGAGAATGATAAAATTTAATAGTACCGGTACAGATCTTCCAAATATAGAATCGAAAAACGGGACAGTTTATCATGAATTATCACCTATAGATAGTTTGCATCTGTTGATTGATTTAACTAAACGAAGAGGAGGTTTATTATCTATTGGTTTTAGTAACAAGATGATAATACAGATTGTATTGCTGATTTTAATTTAAAAAGGACTAACCTTATATAAACTCGAAACATATTTTTAGACCTTTCAAATATGTGAACAAAATGATAAGAAGAGATCATACGTTAAATACTGCTGATAATTTTAATTTGGATTTTATAGATATATTTCTCAACCAAAAACATTGGATTGAGATTTTAAGAAATGGAGGCGTGTTAAGATTAGTAACTGTAGGTAAAAACAAGACATCTAATACTGGTGCTGTTCCTATTGTTCATGATACTCGTGATTGTAATGATATTGATTGTGATGATAATGATAACATAAAAAGACGAGAACAACGTTGATACCAATAACAAAGATAA